AGAAAATAACCTAAAATACTACTTCAAGTCACATGGCTCAGACACAAAGGAATTTAATTTTGTGGAATGAAATTTTTAAAAGGGAGGTGGGTATTTTAATTCTGCTTCCTCCTGGATCCCCCTTTCCTTTCCCTTTGGTAAGCTTTGTGATGACTGAAGCATGCATAACACTGGAAAGGGCAGGGTTACCTGATTTGGGTGAAAAGGATGTACATGGTAAACAACAGATTTCTAATTCTAATGCTTCTACTAATTTTATATTCAAGGTATGAGTTATTTTTAGTGAATGTAGAAATTCTAGTGGAAAAATAGCTGGTAATTCTAGCCAAGATTTATAAAGCACTTAATTGTGCAAGACAGTATTCTATGAATTTAAGTGACTTCAGGTAGAACTCAGAAAAATAGTTAATCCACATTCTGAGAATTCAAAATATATTGAAGCATGCAATGCTGGACTTGGACCAAAGCAGTCTGGGTCCAGTCTAAACTTTCAACCATCATACTGGCCCTATGAGATTGTCTACACGTCTACTTGTACTTTCTTTCAAGACAAACATAACAGAGCTTTATAGCAAGCATTTATTATTACTATAGTTTTCTTACCTAGGGCATTTGATCTAGGGGACAATTCTTAATATTATCTGTGTTTATCAAAAGACAGACATTTCAAAGACAAAACAAAAATGGCCTGTGACAAAGTAAAAATGTGACCTACCTGCTTAGTAATCTGAATAAAACATGTAAATTAAAACCAAAATCAGAACTTCCATCCACGGGCAAGTAGAAGTTGATTCTGAAACTATTTTGAGAACTATTCATCAGTGACAAGCAAGATTGAACACCTGTGTTTCTTTCTTAGGCCCCAATGAATCTCTTCCTAGCTATAGACTTTAGATAAGCAATCGCCTGTCAGCACAAGGAAATGTGTGTACACAGTGTTCCTGGCAGCATTGTTTGTAATAGCAAGAGGACTGAAAACAGCTCAGATGTCCACCATAGTAGTCAAATGGATTAATAAACTGTAGTCATTGGTCCGAGCTACACATCTGTAAAATGAGTAGTACATCAAGACAGGTGATTTGCAAAAATGTAATTTTAAGTGAAGGAAAGTAGTCACAAAAGAATACATATAGTATGATTCAATTTATTTAAAGTTCAAATCCAAGCGATGCTAAACAATACATATATATAGTTAGGGATACATGTCCATGTGGTAAAACCATAAAGAAAAGTAAAAGAATGCTTAACACAAAATCCAACACAGTAGATATCTCAGGAAGGGAGATTCTGGGATATAATTGGGAGGAGCCTACATGGGCATTGAAGAAACTGGAAATGTTCTATTTCTGATGCCAGTTAATAAGCACATGAAAGTTGATATTATTTTATTATTTAAATAAACTGTTACACTTTATATCCTTGCATAAACATATTTCACTATAAACCTTTCTTCAAAAAGCATGATGGTAGTGGTGTATATCTTTATGTTGATTGAGAAAGTAGGATTGAACATTAAAAAATGAGATTTTTATATTTTTTACCTATTTCAGTGAATTCCAGACAAAATTAGAGCATAGCGATGCAGATTCACAAATTTGAACTGACACCGTCTTATACTAGGTAGGGTGGCGAATGACAAGAAGAGTCGTGTCTCCGGATGGTTGACTGGGTTGACGGTGTGTTTCCTGTAAGTGTATTAGCATGTACAAGAGGAGCGTGAGTGTTTGTGGTAAATATAATATGTCCTCACTTTATGCTATATTGCATAGGCTTGTGGGAAATCCACATGTTTATGCATAGGAAGCAATTTAATATCCTAGAACAGGGTAGAGCCAGCCATAGGGCCTAGAAATATTAATTGGGAAAACAGACACCTAAAGGAAATATGCCCTAAGTGTGTAAGGCTCGCAGAAGAAGAGAGGTGGCAGTGGAAGGGATAAGGGCTTAGAAATGCTTTGTGAGACTACTGGGGTTTTTAAATGTGAGTAATTTTATAGCTTAAAGGATCTGTAAGTGGCTAAAATTATTCTACGACTTTCATAGTTTGAGAGAATTTATTTTTGTCTTTACCCTTCACAAGTTTCCTTTGAAACTTTTTGTTTGTACCAGTCTTCCTTGTAACTATTACCTCTTCTTAAACTCACCTTGGCTGATGGTTTTGAAGTTTTGATAGAGTATTATTAGGAAATTCTTTTTAAAATTTTTCATTATTCTTTCAAACTGATTCCCTAACATTTATAGCTCCCAGATTGTAGCATAATTTTTCTAGAGGAACTATGAAATTTATGTTCTTTTAGATTTTTAAATCCTCTAGAAAATATGAAAAGAAAGAAGAATTACTAAGAAAAAACTTAAATCAGGAATTTGTTTACTCATGTGATGCCTGTTTTAATTTTTCAAATAACAAACTCATGGTTCTGTTATGAAAATACTCTACCGACATTCAAATGAGAGAGTGTCTGTAAACAGAAGACTTATACAACAACATTTTGGGGTTCAATTAATACCTGTTATAAATCTACTTGATATTACCTGGTAATTTGCCAAAGAAAACGACTGTCCTTTGAAATGCTTCCTGAAAACATAGTTGTTTTCTAATTCATGGAAGTTTAAACGTATGTTGTTGTTTTTGAAAACTATTTTGAAAATTAGATTTAAAACAGTTAAGCTTTGTCTATAGAACTTAACTTTTCTTTAAGTATTGAATAATTGAAAGGTTCGTTTCTAATATTTTTTTACATGCATCACTGTTATGGATCAAGTTGCTGAGATCAGCTATGATTGTTTCTTCTTACAAAATGGAAGACTTTTAAATTCAGTTGAACAAACATTTAATATATTTGTTGATCCCAAACTATATAAAAACACTTTGCTATACACTTTTGGAGATACACAGCTGAATAAAGTAGACCAATAAGATGTAAAGAATAACATCTAAGTGTTGTTACAACTTCGTCCAGAGGTTAAGTATGTTGATAGCTTTTAAAAAATGGAAAAATATCACTTATCTGGAGAAAAGCTTTCTACTGCCCTCAACCTTTTAAAACATAATTTTAAAAGGATAGTGAAATGAGAAAGATATTTGCTACTAAACACTTTTACTTTATCAGAAAGTCTATATATACCTTAAGGAAAGAGGCAATAATGACATTTAGAAGGACAGCTATCCCTTTACTCTTTAATTGTCCCATTTTGTATCACTCAACAGAGTACAGGAAATGATGCTCACAATCATGAATTCATTATAAAAAACATTAGATTATATCTCGCATTCCCTATTTAACAGAGTATGTCAGTGTTCTACACACTTTGGAGCCAACGGTCTCTTTTTACTTTTTAATTTCGGTGAAATTGAACTGTTTAGTTATCAAGAAAATTAACCATGTAGAATACCTTATAAGGATAAAGCATTATGACTTGGTGTTATTGTTTTGTATATAATATTCATATATTTCCTTTCAAATTATATGGGAGAAACTTTGTGAATAACAACAAGTAGCTATTATTTATAGAGTTCTTATATGAAGAGCTTTTTGTATTTCTTCTTTGTCATATAACCTACCTGCAGTAGATTTTATTCTTCCTATTTTCAGAGGAATAAATTGAGTCACAGTTTATGAGACTTGTTCACGGTCCTTCAACTAGTAAGGATAGAATTTACTAATCACGTGAGTAATTAGCCAATTTCACAATCCTAGCTGTAGCAATTTGGTGAGTGTTTAGTATGTTCAGGATTAAATGTTTTGATACCAAAAAATGAAATCCACTTGAATTTACTTAAGCACATTGGGCAATGATTATAATGAAGCAGGGATATCTCCTAGAACACAAGGGCAAGTTGTGAAGCTGAAACCATGTGGCCAAGGGTCTTTGCTTCTTTTTGTGCACCTGTGTCATTGTTTTTACTTTACTGACCAGCTTTCTCTGTGGCTCTTTGCATCTAGTGAAGATAAATACCCACAGCTCCTGGGTCTTCGTTATCATCAGCTCTATCCCAGTTCTCAAGAAAAATTAATTAGCCTAGCATGGGCATGAGATTAGCCATCCCTGTCCTAAGATGACCTAGTAGTAACGTGACTGAGGCTGTGCCAGCCCTGTGGAACAGCGGTGGTCCTCTGGTCACAGGGCAGAAGATCTCAGAGCCTGGGAGTGGGGCAGACAGCGTGGTCCTTCAGTTCAGACAGCAACATGTGGTGGTTAAGATCACGGTTCCTGGAGCAAACCTTTTAGATCCACTTCTCAATTCTGCTATGAGTGGTTGAGTGACCTTGGGTAAGCCCTTAAACTTTCCGTGCCTGCTTATTTTTTTTATTCTTTTATTTATTGTCTTTTTAAAAAATTCACCTTTATTGTTGTGTTGCAGATGTCCCCTCCCCCGCTTAACCCCCTCCATCCTACTCCGTATCCCTCCCCAGGCTTTCACCACACTATTGTCTGTGTCCACAAGTATGCATAGATGCATATAAATTCTTCAGTTAATCTCTTCTGGCTCCCCCTTATTTTTATCTCTAATGTGGGGATGATAATGTTATTACATGCAAACTATTTCAAAAGTTCCTGGCAACATATTAAAAATTTAATGCATCTTGGTTATTATTTTATGATAGTGGCCACTTATAGCATATATTCTCCTTGTCAAATGAATTAATTTTAAGTTTAGTAATGTTCCAGTACTCCTGTGGCCATCCGTGCTTCAAAAATGAAATGATCTGACTTTGATTTTGCTAAGAGTTGTATAATTTACAAACCTGTTCAAAATAGTGATAATAGAAGAAGGGAAACAGGTTTTCTAACTTGTAGTAAGGAAGATTGATTTCCTAATAGACTTGAAAAGATATTCTCATTCTTTCTGGTGAGTATGTTTATGTAGGAAAAAAAAAACTTTAATAGAGGATATTTGCATAATTATTGAAAAATGTGAACACAGTTTATTAAGTAAATCCAATCATACAGATGAAGTCGTTTCGCTTCCTGCTGATCGATCACACATTTATTTTCAGGTACATGACAGATGGGGGACTTAACCTGTACACTAGAAGTCTGAACCGAATACCAGACACGGCGACTTCCAGGGATGTCATTCAGAGAGGTGTTCACGATGTGACGGTCGATGCAGACAGGTAATACGATCGGCATGTATATGGTAACGTGGAGTGCATACAGCAGTTTCACAAACGAGATCCTAGGAGTTTTACAGTCCAAACCAAGGGACTTTTTTTTATACAATCATCATTATGGGGCATTTAAAAAAAACTAAGGTGTTTTCGATTGAAGACTTCAAGGCTTTTTAAATGCTGTATACGGAAAAAAAATTGCATTGCTGGTGAGAATATTTAACAAATTTCAGGTTTCATGGCAGCAAACTTTAAAACACCCAAAGCAAAATTATAAACGCAGACCTACGTTCTTTACTTAAAAAGAACCCTGGCAGATAAATTCCTTTCCATTTGGATACCCTCAGATGTACCTGGAGGCTAAAGATATAAAAATTAATCCATAATTCAGATGATCAGGTACAGTAAGCTTGATGCTTTGCTTGAAGGGTTTGTTGAAAGCATACAATTCTCGCTTTAGGCTAATCTCTGGTTCATAATTGTTTCAAATTGCTTAAAGGTGTGTGTGTGTGCGCGCGCGTGTGTGTTTCACATACTAGTTGTTATTTTGCTGGAAATTGTTTTGTCAATTTTATCAGAAGCACTGCTGCTCGAGAATATTGTCTGTGTAAAATAATGCTGTAAGACATACTTCTGACCTAATTTTAATTTTGCATCTTCACTTAGAATTCTGCATTGAGTAGGAAGCGAGCACGCAGTTCCAGCACTACCATGTATCAGCACCTAGAGTGGCTGTTTAATTCAGCATTTATGAAAGGCACAAAAGATTAAGAGTTCATGTATCAATATTCTGGAATGAGCGCTGGCCGCTTGTCCCTTGTTTCCCACTGGGTGCAGGCGCACCGTTTTGGTTTTGGGGTGTCAGGAAGGCTCCTGCGTGGCTCGGGTAGTCAAGAGCGGGGCTCTCTCAACTTCCTTTTTCGTGTTTTGCTGTTTTGATACAAAAGACCCCAGCTGCTGCTGGCTGGGCCTGCCTAGCCTGTGGCTTGGGGTGACGAGGGGGGAAAGGGGTAGAGACAGAGGGGCGGGGGAGGGGCTCAAAAAACCCAGCGCCTCTGGAAGTCTGGTGGCTGCTGGTGGCCGCTGGGGATGGGGGCCCCGAGGTGGCTTTGCTGGGCTGGCTGCCAGGCTGCTTCCTTGGTGCCCCCAGAGCCAGGTCACTGGGGACCAGCTGCGGGGGGCGTGGGGAGGTTCCCAGTGCTCTGGGATCCAACGCTGCGACTGGGAACCGGAGAGCGGCTTCCCGAAAAAGAAGGCCGCCCCCCAGTGACCAGGGTCGGCCTCGGGGACACCAGGGTGGTGGGGACGGCTTCCCCAGGGTACTGGGCACTTCCAGGGCAGCAGCTGCTGGAAGCGAGCCCAGGGGGCGCCGGCAGTAGCCGCGGGGCGTGAGCGAGCGCAGCAGGGAAGGCCCGTCGCGCCCTCCCTGCGGCTGCGGGAGCCTCGGTG